TCTATAATTTCTGGGCAAGGATTTTGAACCCTTTTTAAATATAGGAACAACAATCTGCCTTCTTCCAATACTCAGGTACTATTCCTGAAAGAAAAGAATGTTGAAAGATTAAATACAGAGGTTCACTTATTTCCACACTTAGCTCCTTAAGTACTTATGGGTGAATACTACCAGGCCCTGGAGCTTTATTAACATAAAATTTATTTAACTGATGTAGCACCTTGTCTTGAGTCATCCAATCAAAAGTTATCTACAAGTATTTTGCAGCAATCATTTGATTCTTGCCATAGAATCCTCATTAATATATACTAAGGAAAATTTTAATTTAGAATGCTTGCCTTTTCCTGTTCTCCATTAACTAACACTCCCATATCTGTTTTCTGTGTACCTACACTTTAATTTTTGATGTACTTGAAAAAATGTTTGTTTTTTTTTGCTTTCTTTGGTTATCAATTTCTTATTTTCTAGTTTAGCCACTTTATACATATCCACAGGTGGAGATCACACCACCCAGGCGTACATATCTGCTGCTGATCATAAGCTCCAGAAAATTGTAAGTGCTATTTTTCTCATTCTAATGAATCAGTTTCTGAAAATACTACATTATATTCCATTTTTCCTTTCATGTGGTTTCACCACTACAGGGATTTGAGGATATTTTGAAGCTGCTGCTTCCCTGCACTCTTTCCTATATAATGTTTGTGCATGGCCCTAGAGAAGAGACTCTGGTCTGGCTACATCTGCAAGCCCTAGAAATCTCACCATTTTACCTATATGTGGACCTGTAATTTTCCAAAATTCAATAAGACCTGTACATTGGGGGGTACTGTTATACTCATGAGATATCATTGAACACAAATATGAGTGTGTTAGAGCAGTAAAACATATAGTTACAATGATATCCTTAGTGAAAGTACAGTTTTTGTGTGAAAAATGCAAAAACAAATACGAGCACTAATTTTGGCCAGGGTTTATGACTAAGTGGCTACTAAAAAGGACTGGACATACCATGGGTTGAGTATGTTTGCAAGCAGCATGATCTAATGGAGTTATATTCATTCTTGGGCTTTCAAAGGCAATGTAGGCCCTGCAAATCAGTCTGGAAAATGTAACTGTTCTCATGGGACATCACAGCATACTATATACAATACAATATGTTTTTTATTGCAGTAAAAGGTAACAGTATTATAACATTCACAGTTAATATGCCATGTAGAACTTGGAAAATAATATTAAATTTTTCACACTTTAAAAATTTTATTCATATTAAATTCTGTATATACATATTTGATGGGAAATGAAAGTTCTATTTCTCCGTAACAAAAATGAAATATAATAAGTGCCTGTGCACTTAATATTAAAGAGGTAAATTATGGTTGAACAGACTTGTGAAATTCTAGGTTTTGGTTTGGTCAGAACTTGAATTTGTCTCCATCCTTAAGGGGTTAAGGTTAAACCATGTAGAAAGCATTACAGACTGTGCTTAATTTACATTAGTAGATGTAAACTGACATTTAATTAAATGGGCTATTTCTGTGTAGATGTAGACAGGGAACTGATTTATCCAAAACTGACTGTTATTCATCTCATTGAATCTCTCTGCCACACATCTTACTTGTACAAATGTCACTCCTTGAAAGTATGGAAAATATTAAACATCAGCTTTATATTTCATAGAAACAGTGTCCATATATGTGTGGGAATATTAAAGAAACAAAACAAGAAGATGTAGAATATAAACAGCTATACCCACCACACTATGACAGGGCCAGATTTACAGGTCAGGTGCAAGGCACAGAATACCCCATTGTGAGGATATTTATGGGGTGATAAATATTAAAATAATATTTTTATAAAAATTATCAAAAATGAATTTAATAAATTTTATTATATCAAAATTTATATATTATAATAAAGCTGAGAATTACTCACGATTTTAATCTCTTAGATCCTAGAGGAAGCCCATTAGAGGATTTTACATCACACAGTAAATCACAATTTCATTATAAAAATATAATTTATTGTGACAATAATAATAAAATAATATTTAACATGCGTGACAATAATCAGTGAATATTTAGTATAACATAGGCATACAATATGGCAATGGTTTAAACACAATACAGCATCTAAAAGTGACCACTTGTCAGCAATTTAACAATTTATGATAGGGCACGGTTTAGAAACCAACTTCACATAGAAAAGAGAACTTCACAACAGTGCAGCACAAGGCAATAAAAACTCCTGTTGACAGTCAGATTACACTGATTAACCCTTCCACTGCTGGCTACAATCCTCATAGGCTAGATATCCTATTATGCTGCAACTTTACAATTAAAGTAATGTTCATACCAGGTCATTTAACCATTCCTAGAACCATCCAATAAGAATAATTCTACCAGACTTTACATTTGCCGAATTTTAACTTTCCTAAATAAGATGCACTATCTTATTTCAGAACAAGTCAATACACCTGGATAAAAATATTGGTATGCTAACACACGGTAAATTTTACCGTTAATATACTGTTATCTTTATTCCATCTGCAGTAATGGAATTTTTATAACCATATAGTCCTAGTTAACTAAGATTTCTAATGATTGAAATCTGACCAAGATTTATCCAGATATATATTCCTGCTATTAGTAAAATTAAGTAATTTAATTTAATTAAATAAAACCAGCATAATTACCAGTTAGGTTGTAGATTTTCTTATCAGATGTGTAGATCTGTCCCAGGAATTTAAATGCAAGTATGATGAATAGAGAATTGTATGGACAGTAGAAAAGTTTTCAGAGTTCTGAAGTTGTGTTAATTTAGAAAAGTAATAGTTAAAATTAAGTAGAGAAGAGAGGTAGGAACAAAAGTAAAAAATGTTGGGTTGCTTATGGGAAATGGGGGGTAACCCCTAGTAACTATTGTTGAGAGAAAAAGAGAGAGTAAACAAAAACAGAGAAACCATAGGGTTAAGATAAATCAGTCCCAAAGGTTCCCTGTGATTGCAGTGCAACCCAAAGAAAAGTAATTAAAAATTAACTTTTAATAAATTCCTTCTAAAAATCAATGCTTAAATGATAAGTAATAGGTGTCACACAAAAATTAATTAAATCAAAAACGGAGAGAAAGGAGAATGGAAAATTGCAGAGTCACTAGGTTATTTACAGAGAAAGAAACTGATTTATCTTAACCCTATGGTTTCTCTGTTTTTGTTTACTCTCTCTTTTTCTCTCTACAATAGTTAAAATTAAGTATCCGGAAAGTGTTGTTTCTTGAGTGCTGTCCAAGTGTATCAAAGAAAAAGTTTGAATGTGGTTCAAAGAGTATGAGTGTCCCAAAGAATTGAATGTTTGTATGTCCGAATCATTGAATGTTTGACTGTGATTCAAAGAGTATGAGTGTCCCAAAGAGCTGAGTGTTTTAATCTTTGAATCTCTGAGTGTCTCTATCTTCCCTTTATCCTTACTTTTTAAAGGGCCAAACTAATTGATAGGACCAATTGGGAACTGTAGGTGTGTCTCCCCTACAGACTATCATCTAGATTTTGGTCAGTAGATGGTGCAATTACATCACCAACATTTCTTGACATGGGTTTCTTGCATAATGGGTTAACTGAAATTGATGATGCGTTTTACATCATTCGCTTATCTATTTTATGTCTGCTATCAATCGTAGGACACGTCACTTCAAAGCTTTATCCCAGTCTGGGTGTCTGCAATTTCATTTGTAATTTTAGAATTGACACCTCCTAACCTTAATTTCACCCTGTTTCTTACATTAGGTCTTTGTAAGATTGTTATTTTTGTTTTTTAAAAAGTAAAATTAATCACTTAGCGTTACCTGTCATTGGTTAACAAAGTATACAAATTAATTACTGTGTTAAGTGCGCTTATGAATACAATTCAGTGTAAGAAGCAGCTACACACTCTAGTGGGTACTCTCTTACCTCCACTAAATGCAATATAAACCCAAAGTGAATTTAGTGTAGTCTGGATATTATATCCAGACTGTACTATTCATATGAGTGGAGCGCTAAGGATGTACACTTACCATAAAATAGGGTTAAGGACTCATCTGTGTATGGGTACATATACAGGGAACAAGAAAATAAAACACAATATAGTTTTAAAACAAAAACAAAAACAAAAACAGGAAACTTCCTAGTGTACTATGTTTGGACAACAGAGCAAATTGCAGTGATTATAGTAGTGCTCACCTTTTTCTGAGCCAGGTTCTCATTGGTTCCTTCTCCTTTTTGAGGAAACCATTCCAGATAAAGTGTTTAGTGCCCCCATAAGGCACTAACGCGCATACAATTCGAGCCTGTCTTCCTGGGGCTCTCTTCCATGTGAGTTGAACCAATCAAAAACTTCACTTTAATATATCATCACCTACAGATTTACACTATATTGTGTTTTATTTTCTTGTTCCCTGTATATGTACTCATACACAGTTGAGTCCTTAACCCTATTTTAGGGTAAGTGTACACCCTTAGCGCTCCACTCATCATGAAGGGATCCACCATCTCAATAGCACTTTCAATGACATCAGTGTACACCGAGTATAGCGTAACATCACCGATGGTGATACAAGAGTCGTGGGGTACCTTGATCAGTGAGACAGGTGCTGGTAAGGTAATTACTTTATTAGTCACCTGGTCCCTGAGAAAAACACTCATGTTTTTAAGACACGTGCTAAGAACCATTTATGTTAAACTGGAAATTATTGTCTTTGAATTTCTCACAGTCATTCAAAATGGGTATTGAATACCAATCTGGTACCCATGGTTGAAAAGCCAAAACATTTGTGGTTTGTACTTTTACGTGGATATCTTCCTTCCATGTACCGACATTGTAAATTGTTTTCATTTGAAAAATGTTTTTGGGAGTTACATATGGTATGGCCAATAAAAAGCAAATCTCCATACGTTCCAGATCAATTAAGAGAAGTAGAGCACTCCCCATCTCAAAGGCCAGATTTAATTGCATAAGCTCAATTGTCTCTCAATCCACACTGGCAAGCATCGCATTAACAATATCCTTGGATAAGAAATACAGAGGTATGCGTCCCCCTGCCAATTCAATCATCCCGGTTTGCACTTCATCAAAAAAAACAAGTGTGTGGAACAATATCGGGTCATGCTGAAATAAAAGTTCATGCTTAAATAAGTCGTGACTTTGGTGCAACTCACTGGACTTGGCAATTATCTCGGAATGCAAATTTGTTGTAACAACTGTGTCTTCCACAATAGTTAACACGTCCTGGAGAAGTGTTCTTTGCTGTTTTATCACCTGATTAATATTGATAATGAGCTGCTTCAACGCATAGATTTCCATATCCAGTTTATGGACAGTAATAGAGTTGGCTGCAGACATTCCAGTTGTGACAACTGCACCGACAGTGGCACAAACTAATGCAACAATTTTAGCGGTGAGGAACCTTTTGGGTCGGTTGCTCATCGAAATAGTACTGGATAAAAAAGGTTTACATGGTCCTGTACTCTTTGGAGGTGCATCTGGTACCAAGTTTGTAACTCAGGAAGCTGCATCGATGAAATGTTGTACGCCTTCTCGATGGAAATCTTGGGGTCCAAGCTGACAAACACATGTTGGGTCAGGATCCTCTGTCAAGATAAACCCTGGTGTCTCTTGAATCACGATGCCAGAGGATGGGTCCATCTCTCTTAGCACAGGAGTAGTACGATCCAGAAACACGCCACATCTTTCGACTGTCACGGATCAGGAACTCGTCTCAGACTTATCTACTAATGATTCAAGGGTTGTTAAGCATACAATCTTATAACGGTGTGACATCACTTGGTCTAGGACAACATATTATTTATGATTCATCACGTTACGTATTCTGTCTAGTTATATTTTTATAAAATCATCCTTCACTACATTTATTACTGACTCCTCAGTAATACGCCCATAGCAGCTAAACAAGCTAGTAACCTGCTTAGAAAATGTAGTTATTGGATGGCAAGGAAACGGTTAATGACATGAACGTACATGAGATCATGGCACATCACAACATTTCACATCATACGATACCACGTGAATCAAGCATTCATCCAGGTTAGTCGTTCACTCTTCTGCATCCGAATCCACACCTATAATCCTTAATAGAGATTTAGGATGACATGCACGCATCTGGTTAATGTGAACCCACTTTTCAATAAAACCACCATCCTTAGGAATTTTTATCTTGTACGCTACTGGGGAAATTTTGTCACTTATGACATATGGCCCTTTCCAAGAAGGTAAAAATGTATTTTCCTTGACTTGATTTTGCGCAAAGTTATACAGATAGACTTGATCTGTTATCTCATATTCATTTTTCTTGGTTTTTAAATTGTAAAAGGTCTTAACATTAGAAATTGCGGAAATTTCTTAGCTTCGGTTTTCAGTTGCTAAGTCCATTACCTGCTGGGAGTAGGTATTGGATAAGATAGTGGCTTGTGAACCAGTATCTATTAACCCTTTGAAAGGTTGGGGCAGTGAATCCTGTATTTCTACAGACATGTAGTACCTTCCTTCATGTTCTTCTAATTCACATAAGAATTTAGAATGTCTCAACATATCACTCGTTTTCCATACATTACCTGTCACAGCAGTAGTTTCTACCTGTACTGAGGAATGTTCAGTCTTACCCACAGGCCCATCCTTCTTAGGAACATCTTGAACTATCAAGCGGGAACTAGTGGTCGGCATCTCATCAGTGAACCCTTTCCGGTCTGGGTTCTGGAAACTAGTGGCTGCTGGGGATACTTTAGCCTTTGGCTGAAATGAAAAAATAGAGGGACACATTGCGCCTCCTTCACCCGGAACAACTATTGTTTGTCTGACTGTGAGGATCTGGAAAGGAAACAAGGTTAGGCATTACATCTACTGACAACCTAGCCTGTTTAGTCACAGTGGCTATTACTGCTGTGGCACCTGTGGTTGCTGCTGCAGTTGAACAGGTGGCTCTGCAGTTGAGGCTGTCCCTAAAAAAAGTATTTCTGGCAAAGACTTGGTTAATCTTTGTCATTTCTTCCATTAGTTTGCCCATCTGGTCGGTCAATTGACCAACCTGACAACGCAAATGGACAAAGACAAATTATTTGTCTTTGCCCATTAGAATTAGGCTGGGATGGCTGAGACTGTTGGGAGTTATTGGAAGCAGATTGGTTATTTCTGTTTCCATATTGTAACCGAGTAAACTTGCAGAAGCCAGATGCAGAGAGATGGATGCAGGTTTTCAGGAAGTAAGAGGTCTTTATTAACATACCAATCGGGCCTCAGATGAACTAACGTTCCAAAACAGGTCTGAGGGCCGAACACATGGAGTACATGCTTTTTATAGAACTATAACTCCTCCCATTAATAGTTCCACCCGCACGTACCCTTAACCAATCAGTGGACAGGATTTGGATTTCCTCATATGGGCAGACCACATGGCTCATCCGAAACAAAGGAGTATAATTTCAGTTCCTGCATTCTTGCACATGCTCAATACATGAATGATAGTATCTTAGCTACGTGTAACTAACTAACTGATACAACATGCCACGTGGAAATCTCGGCCTACTAAATTTAGAGACATAAGAATATAATAAATACTACTCCTCCTACTAATGCCTTAATCCCTCCAAGCTGCTCATACCAACTTCCAAACCAACTACTAGGATTATACCCATTCCAGACCTGAATAGGTACATGCGTCAGTTTAACCATGTGGCTTGTTAGTTCAGCCACTGCCCGCCCTTCATCATCTATGTGCAAACAACAGTTGCTGAGATTAAACTTTCCGCATGCACCTCCCTCTACTGATAATAGGTAGCCCTGAGCTAATCTATTTTGATAGATGGCTGATCTCATCCGAGTATTTTGCTTAGCTAGAAGATTAAGTGCTTGCGCTGTTTCATTGGGGATAATCTCAACCACCACCTGTAGTCTTATAATATGGTTGAGCATATATATTGGGGTTCTATATCCATAGGTACCCTCTTCTGCCCAAGTAGCAGGTCCATAATAATTAATAATGCGTTGGGGAGACCTTAACTCCCAAGGTCTCTTCTGTCTCAATTGGCAACAGGAAGAAGGATGGTTTGAGCATACCTAATACACATGCTCCTTCACAATCTTGTGGTAACTCTGAATATGCTTTCTTACCACAGATCCAATATAAATTCGCTGGGGCTTTCCAATTGGATATAGCAGATAGGTCAAACCATACCTCTTTTAAATGGGTGTAATTGGCAAACGGATTAGTAGGCTCTGAGACATTTGAAGCTGACCACCAAGTAGTATCTTTAGTATCGGCATTATAGGCTTTCTGTCCTAGACATATTAACTCGCCAACAGGTGTGGTATACAATGGCCCTTTCCTGGCTAAACATACATGACCTATAATAGAGGTTTTTAACTGCCACTCTGATTTACCTCTAGTACTTACTTGATGATCACACTGAGAAAGTATTTGTTGTTCATCTGTCTCAGAACCAGGGTGCCATACTTCCTTTGCCTCCCATGGCCACTGGTCTCCCATATTAGTACCTCCACATACAAAGCAATTAGTTACATTAAGACTACCCGCAATACTCTCAGCCAAATCAATAAATAGGTTCTTAACATTATGGGGAATTTTATCCTCAACACTCATCTCCTCATAAAAGGAATGAAAAACCTGATGAGTTTGAGTTGCTATCATCTCAGTTTCAAGTTCTACATATATTATGGTCCCTGGGTCTACTCCTGTGCCATATATTTGGAACACAAATAGATTTCCAACCTTTTAATAAAATGTTGTGGATTAGAGATGGTCATATGGACAGGATAACATTCCATAGACTTACAGTGTGGTGTAGTGGGCAACCTTTGGATAATAATATCTTGATCCACTGTTTTTCCTCTGGTCGCCCACCCTACACTCTTACTGGGACATAAATATTTATCATTAAACCCATAAGTTCGTTCCCATTTAAGATTACCACATACATTCCAAGGTTTTCACTACCAGAGATCACCTTACATGCATCAAATAGTAGAATGCCCGTAGAATGTATAGTATTTATCACAGTCCTATTTATCAAGGTCCCCTGGGACTTACTGTTCCGAATTACCAACCAAATTGTACGGGGTTGGAATTGGGGATCAAAACATTTAGGCTCTCCTGCTATTGGTTTGCACACACTGTAATCTATATCTAAATATCTGCACTTAGCTACAGATCCCCTACACTCATACTGTGAGTGCCAAATGAGAGTTTGGGATATTTGGTTACCTGTTTTTGTAGTCTTAATGCAGCTAACACAACTCTATATGTCCTCACCTTTACCTTCCTGAAAAATCACAAAAATGCCTAAACACATAATATAACATATTATTTCAGAAGTCCTCATTTCTACTCTTCGACTGCACAATGGCACCTCAACTTTCTGATTGTGAAGGCTGCAAGGATTGTCGTTCTTCTGGTCCTCACTTTTCTTCACAGAGGTCCCTTCGAGACACTCTGGCTCTGACACGTAAGTAGGTGGTCAGGCTTTATTATGGCCATCAAAACACCTACTTGCTGATATCTGTTGTTACTTTCAACTAAGATGTCCCAATATCTCCTCGTATTATTTCTCACTCCGACTGAGCTACCCGCTTTAACCGGATCTTGCAAGGATTTTCAGAATCTGGAATAGCTTGCCAAGAATCTGCTGCTGGTTTAACCCTAGAATGATGAATCCACAGAGTCACTTCTGCCACCTTTACAGCTGTTGGTGTAGATAAAAGAACAACATAAGGACCCCTCCACTTTGGACCTAATGGAACAATATTCCATTCTTTTATCCACACTTGATCTCCCGGTTGATAGGAATGAACAGGTGGATATATGTTCACAGGTAACCTATCTTGAACCCATTTCTGTACTTCCTCCATAGTTTTACTCAACTCTACAACCTGCTCAAGTCCCCCCTTAGATTGCTGAGTATGGGAGGTGGACACCCATAAACAATTTCAAAGGGAGACAGACCCATTCTTCTGGTAGGAGTACTACGTATCCGCAACAGAGCTATTGGCAAAAGGACATTCCACTTGAGCTGAGTTTCCTGACACATTTTAGCCAATTGGGTTTTTATTGTTCTGTCCATCCTTTCCACCTTTCCAGAAATCTGAGGTCTATATGATGTATGAAGTTTCCACTTAATACCAAGCACACAATTGTTGTAAACACTGATGGATAAAGGCTGGACCATTGTCTGATCCGATAGAACACGGAAGTTTAATGGGTATAACTTCTCGCAACAGAAATCGTACAACTTCTCCTGTCTTTTCTGTACGAGTTGGACAAGCTTCTACCCAACCTGAGTAGGTACACACGGCTACCAACAAGTAACAATATCCCCCAGATTTAGGCATTACAGTGTAGTCTATTTGCAAATCTGACATTGGGAGTCCTCCCATATATTGAACTTCAGGGGGTTTGA